GCTTGCTGGCTCCTGCGTCTTGCTGCTTGTATTGCTATTCCCAAGCACGACAAAGGCCTCCAACGTCACTACGATCCCCACTTCCTACTCCCAGGATGAGCACAGAGCAGCCAGAACAGATGACTCCATCTCTCTGCTTTCTGCTCACAACTGGTCCTTTCTTAGAGGGAACCACCTCCAGAAGGTGGTTTGTACAGCATCTTGCACAATGAATCTGGGGTAAAGGAGAGAGCGCTGCCTGTTCTTGCAAGCAGGCTGGGCTGACATCACCAATCCTTATGGATTCTTGCACCAAACTGGTTTTTTTTTTTCTGGTTAAGAGAAGCCATGTGCTGCCCTTTATTTCCTAGCAGCTGAGAACGGGGAAACTTGCTCTACGCATGCTGCCTCGATGGGGGGAAAGCCTAGGCCTGGTCTGACAGCCTTCATCTACCATCTGCACACAAAGCGCTGAGTGGTGGGCTCAGCTGCTTATGCATGTTGGAGTCGTCGTGCCGGAGGCTGGCTGCCTTCCAGAGGAAAGCAGGTAGATCCGTCGATTCCGTTAACAACCTCGAGACACTCTCCTATTACCCCGAGCCCTCTGCTCAGAGATGCCGCAGCCACGTGACCCGTCAGCTGACAGAACAGGATGACTCAGCCGGCAGCTGTCGGGCCCCTAAAATAATGACAAAAACAATTAGCAGTCCAAGCAGTAGCCTCTCCTTAATTATCTCCTCCGAGTTTAATTAACTAGCTAAATTATCAGCAGTAATGTAGGCATTAATTATGTCAAATTACAGTGTAAAAATCACAAAGTGTGGAAAATGTCAATTCAGCTGTGCTCACCTGCCGGGCTGAGATGAGCATGTGTGACAGAGGCACCGTTGAGCGGAGGGGAAGGGGGCCGCTTCGTTTTTACAGGTGAAGAGCGCACCCTTACGACAGCGCTTTGAGGGGGCTGTGGGGGCCAGGCGGTGCGGGGGGAGCTCCGGCGTGAACAGTTGGGGGTGGCTGGGGGGAAGCAGTGCCATATTCTTGATGCAGAGCCTTTGGGGACGCTCTTGACTTGAGCAGGAGTGGAGAGGATGGAATATTTTGGCTCTGGCAGAGAGAGGGAAAGGAGCGTGGATCCCCAAACCAGATGGCTTGGATGCTGAATTATTAAATTATGAATATTAATACAAATCAGACACGGAAGAGGTAATAATTTTGCTGCCCTACAGAAATAATTAACATAATTTTGATAAATTACATGATAAGAGAATCTCAAAATTGAGGTAGATTTATCTTAATTAATATCTTGGACCTGCTCCGAAAGGTAAATTGTTCCACTGGGGACTAGGGAAGGGTGAAGACGGGTGCCCCCCCATCTCCCAGCTACAGACCAGATCCAAGGTTCATTTCATGCCCATGGTGTGTGTGTGTGTGTGGAGGTGGGCATGTGCATGAGCAGGCACAACCTAGGTCCTGATTGCAAGCTGTGTCCTGGGTTCCCAGCGTGGCTGCCCCTGCATCCATCCTCAGGTGCCTTGTGTGACAGCGTATCACTTCCACGGTTGGAAGTGGCTCTCATGGGAACTGCAAACAAGGAATGAGTGTCAAAGGCCAGGTGGCTGCCATGCAAGCAGAGCACTTGGTGCAGGCTCTGGGGTTGTTCTTGCCAAAATAGCCCTTTTGTGAGAGCTGTTATGCACACACTCACCAGCCCATTAGTGCATTACATGTCCCATGGGTGTGCTCATCTTCTTCTCCCAAGCATATCTCTAGGCTAAACTCCAGGGTAGATATACCTAGCAAACACCTGTACCATCACAAATTCACATATACGCTGCATGTGCTCACCTGCCTACAGGCAGATGCATGCATCCAGATGCACACGTGTGTTCATACTTGTACATACTTAAGCTCATTACCTAAATTTCAGCCGTATCTCTCTCTCAGTACCTTGCATGGTACTTATGCTCCTTTAATGTAGTATATCTGCATGCTACCTGATGTCTTTCATGCATTTATTCTCATGATGCCTTATGAAGTAAGGGAGCACTGTTATTTCGATTTAACAGG